TATTTCATTGGTAGGAGACGCTTTGAGGCAATGTACACACTGCATCGTCGAATAAGGAATGTTGCGAGAACTACTGCGGTAACTTTGCCTAATCGCACTCAAAAAATCGTCCTCTTGGAATTACCGGATTCCACTAAACGTTAGTGGAATTCCGACTTTAATACGAACCTAGTGGATCCTCTAAACTTTAGTATGAAATATTCTAAAAAAATCCTCTAAATGAATCCACTAAACATAAGATGTAATTCCTCTAAATGTTAATAAAAAGTTGTGTTTTGTAAACACTATTTTCCTCTTTTCTTGAATCCTTTCCTCTGAAGTTTAGAAAAAATCTAAGTGTAAAGAATAGGTGAAAAAGAGAAAATAATTAGAAAGAAATGTTACATGGCAGTTTGTTTTTAATTACAATAGAGTATTATGATCACAGTCAAAATTACATTAAAGCTTTAGAGAGCATGTCGATAATTAACATAACACAGACCATCAGCACCTGTGCGACACTCACTAGGATAAAATGATATGAGATCATGGTACTCAATAAAGAACCATTCATTGGTATGTTCTACCTCGTAAGAGTGCAAGTGCGAATTGAAACCTATGGTCGAAAGACCACGCACAATGAAAAATGACTTGAATTGGTCGTCATTTGCAAAAGGCTTAACAATCCAAAATATTAGACCAAAACATGGATAGTCTTCATCATAGCTGAATGCCAAAACCATATTTTTCTTGTACATTGTGCCACAAATAGTGACCATTTCAACACAAGATGCATCATAGTAGTTGTTAGGGACAATAAATTGAAATTGATTAAAATCATCAACTTCTCGAAGGACTAAACTTTTGAAATGGAAAACAACAGTGGGCTTTACTTCCATACCAAGAAATCTAGCTGCTAAACTAAAACTGTAACGCACAGCAGTGCTCAGGGGCATATTTTTTCTGCATGAGTGAGAGTTGGCAGGGGCTTTAACAACAGGTCTGTGTTTACCTTCCAAACGCATACACCACAGATTAACTAATGGACCAACTTGCTGCATTACTCTGCCTGTGTGAGTCATAAAATGAAATTTGGGTTTCAACAATTTTCCAGACACATTTAAATACACTTGATGATGTTCTGAAATTAATGTAGTTAAATATGGTATAGCTTCTCTTCTGACAGTTGGAGAAAGAACAATATCCATAATCTCAGTTAGTAGAACGTACAGTCTCCACACAACATCACCCTCTGGAACTAAGTCCCCGATCATTAAACCAAGGTGACGCACAAAGAAATACATTTCAGATGACGACATTTTCAATTTCTCTTTTCGAAGATGTTCCATTGTAATTTTCACAACTCTATTGCCACTATCAAAGCCAAAATCAAAGAACTTAATCCGTTCATTTAATGTCTCAAGAGTCATAAATTGTCTTTGTATTACAGAAAGAAGTACAACTGTCAAGTCATAATGACATACGCCTTCAAAATAATCATGCATAAGGTCAAGGCAGCTGTTTACTGAGCAGTGGTAGGACATAAGTTCATTCCAGACACATTCTGATTTGATTCCAGTCAATCTATAGTCATTTAGCAGAACATCCTCTTGGTAATTATTGGGGTTTCTCAAGAGATTTTCATTTTGTACTGTCTGAACCCTTGACACATTCCTATGTTGTTTACAAATACGACAGTAAAATCTAGCAGAAAAGGATTCAACAAAACCTGTAATACCATTTACACCCTTATTGTCACCGATTATCAGACCAACTGCAAAATAAACACGATATGTTTCATTACCAACACTGATTTCAATACCTTCCCTCTCTAAGTCTTTCAGTGCATCAATTACAATTCTGAAAGTTTCATCATTTCGACGCCTTTTATCATTTGTCAAAAACACGGCAGCAACAAATAAATTCTCAAGGAGAGACAACAGGTGCTGCGGTATACATGGAATAAAGTAGTAAACCAGACCAAGACTATGATCGCCAGAGTGGGACCCAGTCTGATTGTTCGGTTCTGCATCATCGAAATAGAGTATAATAGGAAATACAAGACGACCCTGAAAGTGAGTATCTTCAATATTTTTCCAAAGGTCACCTTGAATAAAATTTGAAAATTCATTGGACCTCTTAAGCTTGTCAATATTTTCCATTGTAGATGTAAACATTTCAGGAAGCTCAAAAAAATATTTAAGGATGCTTTTCATACATATATATTGGCCAGTTAGTTCAACAAGAACTCTGTTTCGCACTCCATTAACTTTTTTCATAATCCAGTCTCTTCCAATAAAGAATGATTTAGGAGGAAAGTACACGTTACTTTGTTTCAATGCTATAATTCGTTGTCTTTCAGTTCTTAAGCCTTCAAAGGAATCCCTCATTGAAATAAACATTTCACGCAAATCGTGCAAGTCTTGTTGAGGGCCATCATAATTTCTTAACATACGATTGACTTTAGATTCAAGGACCTCTAAATGGGCGCTACATGAAAAGTCAGAGCAAATGTCAAGAATACTTTGAACTCTTGACCGGTTAATTGATGGTACAGAATATAATTTAGCTGACAAGGCAAGACTAGAATTATACAAAGCAAGCTTAAAATCTGGTACTGAAATTTCATTGTCAACAGGTTCATGTACATGTGCTTGCAAATTTTCAAAGTTCTGCTGAGGGTCATTCTCAAACTCCATATTATCAACTTCATTATCATTGTTGCCCTCATGATTGTTAACATTTTGTTCATTTACAGTATGCTTTTTAATCAAATGCCGCCTCAACAACAGAAGTGTGCCATATTCCTTATCTGGACAAAAACAGCATTTGTAGGATGACAAACAACTACTGGGATGAACCATCCCTATGTGCTGACATAGTGCAGATATAGACTGAAATTCATCATTACAAATGGTACAACTGAAAACCATTTTGGATTATTAGGTAAGTTTAAACTAAAATTAAGTTAATTGAGTTAAAAATTGAT